GGCCCAGGCACCCGAACACCAGGGGTGCTAGTAGTAGGTACACTGTCATTGGTACTAAGTTTCTCTTCCGCCTTTTTTTCTTTCCGGACTGTAAGAATTTCACTTTCATTTCTCACTCAGCTCCTCCCTAAGAACTCTGGTGTGTGATTCCGAAGTACGCCTGCCCCTGGCCATTTTTCCTCTGTTCTACGTTGAATTCGTACTTCTCCACTCAGGACAGAAGGTGGAGGCAGTGGATAAGAAACTTCTGCAAAATAAAGTGGAATGTGCTTGGTGAGTTTAAGTTTGAGAAGATGCTCTGAAGGGAATAAAAAAGCAGTTGCAGGCTTCCTGCTGTTAGAGCCAATTTAGGGGCAGATTGAGTCAGGGGAGGGGCGGTCTGAAAGATGGGAAGTTTGAAGTAAAACCAGGAAACCTACGGTTCTCTGGTTAATTCGGACTCATAGCGAGCCTATGGGAGCTCTGGTAGCGTAGTGCCTAAGGCACTTGACTGCTAGTCAGAAGGCTGGAAGTTCAAACCCACCAGCCACTCCTCGGAAGGAAGGTTGGGCAATCTACTTCCGCAGTGATACTGCCTCGGAAACTCAAGGAGGGGTCGCTGTGAGTCGGTCTGACTTGACAGCACATAACAACAGCAACAGCAAGCCTATATAGTACAGAGTAGAACCCCCGGTAGGGTTTTCAAGACTGTAAATCTTTAGGGAAGCAGAATGCCTCATCTTTCTCCCTCTGAGAGTTTCTGTTTTAAATTTGAACCACCGACCTTTTGGTTAGTAGCCAAGAGCTTGAACCATTACACCATCAGAAGTGAAGGAAGGGCAATCGCAGGAGGCAGACGTCAGGCCGGCTGCTCTGTCTGCGCGCTGAGGCGGTCCCACGGCCTGCAGTCGTTGCAACTGCCGCGGTCGCCGCAGTCCTTGGGGGCAGGGAACCGCGGGTTGCAGCCGGAGCCAGGCCGCGACGCCTAAGGGCCAAGGACAGCCATCTACCGCGGCCTTTTCTGAGTCGTGAGTTTCTAGCTCTGTGATTGGGGAATGTCGGCAAACGATTAATCCCGAGGGAAACCCCGCGACCTAATAGCCTGCCTCCGCATGTGTGTATCTGTGTGGGGGGGGGGGGGGGGCGGCGGGTGTCGTAGATGGTGGCCGGTGCCCAGCTGTCGCTCTTGCTCGGGCTGCAAGCCCAGGCTGCCCCTCTCAGCAGAAGGGAAAACTGAGGCGCAACCTGAGAGGGGACTTGCCCAGGTTCCAAAACCGAGAGTGATTGGCGGGACTAGGATTTGGGCTGAGTTCCAACTTGAACAGCCTAGGAATTATTGAGACATTTGGGGTTTTTAATGTTAAGGATTTCACCTGTTTCCAGCCAGTTCCCGGCAGCCTGATGGTAAGGGCTGTTAACAACAGCGACAAAAAACCCAAACCATTTAAAAAATTCCCAAAAAGTCCAGGAAGCTGTAGTTCTCTGAGAGTTGACATAAAAAAACGACCCCACTCCCTACCGGACGGTTCCATTAACCTTGGAAGCGAAAGCAAGTTGAGTTTGGTTCACTGCCCCTCTCTCTGAGAGTACAGGTTGCAACCACATGGGTTATTCCATGCCTGTCCATACTTAAGGATCCATGAATTGTAGAATCTGGCGACTTGAAGGAAACTTAAGTCACGTGCTTAGTTTAGAGGTGTGCACAGGAGCTGCATCTAGCACTGACTTGTGGGAGGAGCCAAGAATCCATCCAGAGGAGAGGATGCTTGAGTGGAGTTTGAGGAATGAGCAGGAGTTAGTGACATGGAGGAGGAGAAGGACATTTCACCTGTATCAGGATATAGCTTGGCCCAGGTGATGAAAAAGCCTTTTTGGTCCTCAAGTTGTAGACCCTGGTTAGTGTAAGGGGTTTCATGAAGGTGGTGGCTCCATGAGCCATGAGAATAGAGAGGTAAGCAGGGCTACATCTATCTGCTGACCACCTGTGCTGCTGTAAGAGATTTGGGTTTTGTCCAGAAAGGTCTGGAAGCTGCATTTGGTCAGACCTGTATCTTAGGTCATGTGCAAAAGTACTGGTGAGAGGCCACACTAGAGAGGGAGGTGGATGGAGTATCCCTGGGGGAATTGCTGAGGGCTTTGAAGACAGTTGCAGTGGGAAAGGAGAGGGTAAGAGAAAAGATTTCAGAGCTTTTAGTAGCATAGTGCCTAAGGCATTTGATTGCTAACCAGAAGGCTGGTGGTTTAAACCCTCCAGCCACTCCTCAGAAGAAAGATTGGGCAATCTGCTTCCATAGACCCAAAGAGGGGTCACTATGAGTCAGGACCTACTTGACAGCAGTGAGTTTGGCTTTTTTTTTTTTTTTAAGGGAGGTAGGATATACCACACATAGTGTCTGTACACTGTACATGCTAAAGGGAACTTGGTCTCTTGAGTTTCCCAGCATGAAGAAATATTCAGCTCTTTATTTAAAAATAAATAAATAAAATGCAGAAATTTATTTATAGACCATAATTTGAGTCCCACTTTATGGGGAAGTTGTCATGTATATCAAGGCTGTTGAAATACGAATGTTTAAATAAGTATATGATTTAAAAAAAAAAAAAAAAAAAAGTGAAGGAAAAATACCAGTTTTTTTCCTGGCTGAGTGTTCTGGTTTTTTCCATTATTTCTCCAGGCTGAGTCTTCCCCCATCCCATTCTTATTCTATAGTTTAGATTTTGTTCTTCGAGGAGAGCACCCAATATCTTCTTTTTCAGTGGCAGAAAGTCCTTTTCCCACCTCCTCCTTAGAGGTGCCTGTGATGGGGACCCCCCATTTCCTAATGTATGAAAGCCCAGGCCTCTGGTCCAGGGCCAGCAGAGATGAGAGCCCGTGAGAGGGAATAGAGTTTTAGGGGCTAATCCTTTCGCTCTTCTCTCGGTCCTTTGTGCTCTGGTCTCCATAGTCTCTCTGGTAAATTCCCAGCCCCTGGACTTGCCTGGAAGGAGCCCTCGTGGCCCAGTGGATGAAGTGCTAGGTTGCTAAGCAAAAGGTCAGCAGTTGAAACACACCAGAAGCTCCTAATGATTGGTGTCTTGTAGCTCTGATTTTTCAAACATTTTCTTACATATTTTTACCTGGTTGAGTATATGGATCTTTTTTACTAAAAACTTTTCATAATACAGAATTTATTTCTCCAAGCCCAACTAAACAGCAGCAGTGAAATATATCACATTTTGCAGTTACTTTTCAATTTCACCAGAGATGAACTTAACAAATGTAAAATTTTCTAGAAACTGACTCCATGCTTCCCCAAAAAGATACAGATTGAACTCATCACAACTTTGTATTTGAGTATTTTTTATAATAAAATACTGGGGTGGGGGGAATGATGTAATCCTTGAAAATATTGCACAGTTCTGAAACATATTGGCTAATATGTACCGAAAAATACATAGGGTCTCCTGTTACTTCAGCTGTGGGATAGGTGTTAGACATTGCAGAGTCAGCTGCTTGGCTGCATTGAAGTTCCTCTCTATAAAGGACAGGAAGAAGATGAGAGAAGTTGGAGCCTTCCTCTCATCTGCATTCAGTGTGTTCTGACATAAATAGACAGGGTGGGCCCCTCTGATAGGAGAACTTACAAAGAGAGTTAACTGCAGTATAAGAATGAATAATACTGACATTAGGCCAAACATCCATGCTGAGTAAAGATCATGTGTAAAAGCCCTGAAACATCAGTGTGTTGGTGCTTTTCTTATTGAGGATTTTATTATTATTATTATTGTGATTAGGGTGAAGATTTACAGAGCAAATTCACTTTCCATACCACAGCTCACATATACTTTGTCTCATGTCATTGACCACAGTTTACCACAATGCAATAGCTCCCCTCCTACTTCCTCCCTATAGTTACCTCTTCCCAGTATCTATCCCTCCATGCACTCCTGCCCCCTGAGCTGTCTCCCTGTGCATAAGCAGCCCTTCTTTCTCCCATGATTGTTTTCTCCGAGGAGTGTATCTACCGCAGGTAAATGTTCAACTCATATGCCTGTCTTTTGTTTGGCTGGAAACCACAGGTGTGGGTTCATTCCAGACCTAAGGGCAGGTAGGGACCATAGTCTCAGTGGTTCCACCAGGCTCTATCAGACCAGCAAACCTGGTCCCCCTCCCCCCCTTTTTTTTCCAAATGATTTTGAGTTTTGTTCAACATTGTTCTCCCTCTCTATCAAGGATCTCCTACATAGATCCCCCTCCAAATGGATGACAATGATAGCCAGGCACCATCTAGTTCTTCTGGTCTCATAGTCATATAGGCTGCAGATTGGATGGTGTACCAGTCTCTAGGACTAATTATTTCCATGTATTTTGGTTTTCTTCGTTCTTCTTTGCTCTGGATGAGGAGAGACCCATCGTTGCATCTAGATGGCAGCTTGCTAGCTTTTAAGATCCCAGTCACTACTCATCAAAGTAGGAGGTGGAACAATGTTTTGTATAGTATGTTATGCCAGTTGAGCTTGATGTCCCCTGCAACTATGGTCCCAAGCCCACAGGTTCAACTACTTGGTCCCTCTTGGTAGCTGGCTGTGACCAAGCAGTAACTACAACCTTGCCCCTTGTCAGTTCTACTATACACCTGGGAATTTTGAGGATTTATTGGACATGAGAAAAAGTGCAAGGATTGATGGTGTGTCACACAGGATCTTGTTAGGAAGGGCCTCAGGTTTTCCTTCTCTCCAGTAAAAGAAAAGTAATCCTTGCACAAAAAAGATGGAATCTGTTATGAGACATGAACTGGGATTAATGTGTGAAATTAGTATTGAAAGCTCTTTTAATTCAGGTGACTGAACTTTCCTTGTTTCTCTTCTCTTCTTTTTTACATTTCAGTTTATCAGTCTTCACCTATCCTCCATTTCTGCACAGCCATATCCTTATTCTTGTATTTTTTAATCTGCCTCTGTCAAAGGCCCAGCTACTCAGGAGTCTGTGAGCAAGAAGAAACTCCAGAGTCAGAACAGAAAGAAGCCAGAGAAGAGTAGCAATGGAGTCATCAGTCCTCATGAATCTGCATGAAGAGGTGACCTGCCCCATCTGCCTGGAGCTCCTGACAGAACCCCTGAGCCTAGACTGTGGCCACAGCTTCTGCCAAGCCTGCATCACTGTGAACAGCAAGACGTCCATGGCCAGCTCAGAAGGGGAGAGCAGCTGTCCTATATGCCGGATCAGATACCAGCCTGACAACCTAAGGCCTAATCGGCACCTGGCCAACATAGTGGAGAGACTCAAGGTGGTCAAAGTGACCCTGGAGGAGCAGAAAAAAGATGTCTGTATGCGCCATGGAGAAAAACTCCTGCTCTTCTGTGAGGAGGATGGGAAAGTCATTTGCTGGCTTTGTGAGCGGTCTCAGGAACACCACGGTCACCACACATTCCTCATGGAGGAAGTTGCCCAGCGGTACCAGGTAAGAGACCAGTATGGAAGAGTGCAATTCAGAAAATGATGCTTGGTGGCAGTCCACATCTTCCCTCCCTACTTTAATTTATCATCACAGACCTGAAACTTGCTGTTTCTTTGCATATGCTATGCTAACCTTCGGAGACTTGAGGGATATTTTTGTGTATTCCATTTTAAGTAATAGGTGTGTCCAGATTATAGACTCTTGGCCAAAAGTAGATAATTTTGTACCATTTACTGGATGAGTGAAGATTGGGTATCTGGATAAAACTCCGATTGCCCCAGCTAGTTGGTTGATGGGGAGCTTGGTAGTCAAGAGAAAAGGACTTTCAGTGCTGCAAGACTGGATCTTTTTCTAGACTAGAGAGAATAAGGCTACTTTTGATGAGACATAGGTGACTTCTGTCACCTGGGGCTTAAAGAATACATTTACATCCTCAGATTTTCTTCTAAGTCATAGATTCTAATTGCCAACCTCACAGCTTCTGCAAACTATAGTCTCTTCTGAGAGCATCCAGGTATCTCTCTTAACTTACCTTCTATCCAAGTACTAAGAAAGCTCATAGCTTGACACTGGTGTAATTTTTTTTTTTTTAACAGGCTAAACTAAAGGCAGCTCTTGAAAGGCTGAGGATGGAGCAGAAGAAAGCTGAAAAAATGGGAGGTGACATTAAAGGAGAGAAGGCTTTCTGGAAGGTAAGAGGAGAATCTTGTTCAGGGGGTTCTGGGTAGGGACCTAGCCTCAAGCAGGCCTTTTCCTCTTTACTTCCTGACAGTAAATGAGACTGGATGGATAGCATTTGATTAATATTCTTCTTCACCTAAGAGCAAGTGCAAGGGTAAAACATGTGGCCGCTACCTAAAAGGTTGGCAGTTCAAATGCACAAGCTGCTCCATAGGAGGAAAGACCCGCCCATCTGCTCTTGTGAGGACTACAGCTTAGGAAACCCTATGGGGCATTCTCCTCTGTCCTATAGGTCTCTATGAGTCAGAATTGACTTAATGGCACACAAAAACTTCTTCATCTCTTCCCTGATCAGAGATGGGGCAGGAGAATGAATATGTCACAAATGAACACATATATTTGGAGTCAGAGATATAGAGGGACTCTCTGCTGAGGAAGCCTGGTGAATCCTGTGCCCATTCCTGTCACGCTGTTTGAGGCAATGATTCCTCTGAAGGCAGACATTTGGCATGGGCCATGATTCCAACCTCAGGGTACAATGAGCTAAGGGTAGGATTGTGGGGAAGTGGTATCTAATGCAGGGAGGCCTGAGTGTCTTAAACAGCTGTGTGAAAGCTAGGCCTCACTCTGGCTCAGGATGGACCTCAATAAGGCTGACTAGTGGTCATTGTTTTTGGATATGAGGAAGGGAAAAAGTAAAGCAGTTAGCAGTTGCCTCATAAATTGCTGCCCTGCTTGTATCACACCTCCCTGTGAGAACTCCCCAGAGAAAATAGTTCTCTTACTGGCTCCTAGACCTTGGAAAAGTAAGCTGTCTTCCACATAGACTGACTGTCTCTCTCTTTCTCATCTCTAAAGAATCAGATACAGACTGAGAGAGAAAATGTCCAAACAGCTTTTAATCAACTGAGAAGTTTCCTGGACAGTGAAGAAGAGAAGGAGCTACAAAAACTACAGAAAGAGGAGGAGAGTGTTCTGAGTAACCTAGCAGAGGGTGAGAATGAACTGGCCCAGCAGAACCAGCTGATGGAAGAGCTCATCTCTGATCTGGAACATCGATTACAGGTGTCACCAATAGCGATGCTGCAGGTATGACTTGGGATGGTGCCTCTCCCACATCTGACATTCAGGGAAAATGAAAACTTCAGTTTTCTTCTCTGTCGCTGGGTTCCTTCTGGTAAAATACTACGTTTCATTGGCCCTGCAGTGTCCCATTCCTGCTTTGATTTCAATAGTAGTAGGAATAACTGGGGAACTCTGGTAGCGTAGTGCCTAAAGCACTTGACTGCTCACCAGAAGGCTGGAGGTTCAGCCACTCCTCGGAAGGAAGGTTGGGCAATCTACTTCCGTAATGATACTGCCTCGGAAACCCAAGGAGGGGTCGCTATGAGTCAGATCCGACTTGACGGCAGTGAGTTTTTTGGTTTAGGAATAACTGAATGCATGAATATTGAGTGAAAGCCCAATCATCCTTAAATAATGAAGGGTAGTGCAAAAAACTGACATTAGAAGATCTACTGTATCTAATTTATCTGTGATCTTTTTTTCTTGTATCCTCCTATAGATTGTTTGTTATTAGTGATAGTGCAGTATTGTGTATGTAAAAGTGTTTACCTTTGTTGTCTGTACTACTTGTGAACCTCTCCACATCTTCCTTTTGTTATCTGTGATCTTGTGTTTAGTATTAGTCATGCCTCTTAGTCTCAGATAAACAAAAGGTTTTTGCTCTCTCCTCCGTGTGTTGGCTCCTGCCTGGGTCTCCTGGTTCTGCTGGTGCCATTTTTCTGCCACTGCATCTCACTATCTGTGCCGTCTCTGGTGTTACAATTTTCCTCAGCCCTCACTAGAATTGTCTTTGATACCCCTAATTCCAGTAACAGTCTCTTCGAGACAGTCTAAGCCTTTACTATTAGCACCTTACAACTCTTCCAGCCTCTACTCATTACTTATTCCTAAACTACTTCCACATTTTAGGTATCTGTTAAAGCAGTATCTCACTCTCTGTGTAACAAATACTGACTTAGTTCTCTGTTGTTGTTGTTATGTGCCATCGAGTTGGACCCGACTCATAGCGAACCCTCCTTGGGTTTCTGAGGTGGTATCACTATGGAAGTAGATTGTCCAACCTTTCTTCTGAGGAGTGGCTGGTAGGTTTGAACCGCCAGCCTTCTGGTTAGCAGTCAAGTGCCTTAGGCACTATGCTACCAGATCTCCTAACTCTAGTGCTGCTATAACAGAAATACCACAAGTGGATGGCTTTAGCAAACAGCTTTATTCTCTCACAGTTTAGGAGGCTATGAAGTCCAAATTCAGGGTGCAGACTCTAGTGAAAGGCTTTCTCTGTGTCTCCTGGTTTTGGGGGATTCCCAGTACAGGGACCTCGAGTCCAAAGGATTTGCATCCCTCTGGGATTGTCTTTCTTGGTGGTCCCTTTCTCTCTATTCTCTTCTCTCTCCTTTTATGTCCTATAGGAGCTCTGATAGCATAGTGCCTAAGGCACTTGACTGCTAACCAGAAGGCTGGCGGTTCAAACCCACCAGCCACTCCTTGGAAGGAAAATGGGGCAATTTACTTCCATAGTGATACTGCCTCAGCAACCCAAGGAGGGATCACTATGAGTCAGATCCAACTCGATGATCCAACTCGATGGCCCAACTCGATGGCAGTGAGTTTGGTTTGGTTTTAGAGACAGGAGTAAAGGTGTTGTATATGACCCTAATCCTCATACTATTGATTGGCTTATCACATCAGGGATCATTGCCTAACTGCCAAGCCACTGAGATTCATGGCTAAGCCAAGTTGATACATATTTTTAGGGGACACAATTCAATCCATGACAGTGGGAATGAGATAAAATGTTGTAAATGGGGAGGACCAATCACTCCTTGACTCAGGTTTTCTCCCCTCTCCTAGGATGTGACCGACATCATAAAAAGGTATGTTTGGGTGACCAGGGATGATCCTTTGGTGCTGCACAGAGAGGTTGGTAACCATGAAAGTCATCTGATGGTCAAGCAGAATGAAAAATCTTCAAACAAGAAACTTTTTTCTTAAATTTCTGGTCACAAATCAGGTTTGAGTGTTCCATAACTATTAAGAATGGAACAGATTCTATGGTAAAGAATTCGTGTGGTGGGAGATCACAGAGTTGAGCCAGTGGCGGTAGTAGGGATCAGATACTATACTATCACATCCCTGTGACTTCACTCATTTTTATCACTTTCTGTCCCTGCATCCAAGACGCTCTGGTGTCATAGTACCTATGGCATTTGACTGCTAACCAGAACGTTGGTGGTTCAAAATCACCATCTGCACCATGGAAGGAAGATGGGGTAATCTACTTCTGTAAAGAGTTACTGTCTTGGAAACCCAGTGGGGGTTGCTATGAGTTGGAATCAACTCGATGGCAGTGAGTTTGGGTTTTTTGTCTCTGCATCCAGCTCCAGTTCCCACATTTTACTGATGTTTGCCTTATTGCAGGAAGAAATGTCCATGGCAACAAATTCTTTATATTTCTCCTTTAGATTGTCAAAAACAGACTCTAGACAAGGGGAATAATGGTTTGGCCCTGATACAAATAATTGAGCAATCTTAGTCACCTTAGGAAGCTGTATGGCAAGGTGACCCCCTTATGTTCAATAATGCACAACTACTTGAAAGCATCAAGCTCATCACAAATGATTTTCAGACTCCTTTTAGTTTATAACTTCTCCCTTCCCAAGTGCTTGTAACTTTTCCCACAAGAACCTGAAAACTCAAATGTTATTGTGAGAGCCTTCCTACTGAAGGATCAGATTTTGAAGACACTTGGGACTCATCAAATAGGATCGCCATACTTCATATGTCCCAAATCCCAAAGAGACGGGTTCTGTAACGTCACTTTCTGATCATTTCCCCCGAAACTTACATCTATGGCAATGAATTTCCACACATTAAATTTTATTTTGTAGAGGTAGCAAAGTGATTTTCTTAATTTTTAATCCATTATTTCACATAACTCCATATGATTTCTACAAGGTGAGAGAGGGGGCTAATTATTTTAGAAAAAAGAAACTATACTCCTGAGAGGTTAGCCTTCTCAAGGTCTTACAGAGAGACAGTGGGAAGGTAGACATGAGCACATGTCTCCTGGCTTTCATGTCAGTTGTTTCCCTTCTCCTCTCTCAGGCTCTTCAAGATTGAGTACTCAAGTACATCAACTGGGTGGGAAGAGGCACTGGTGTTGAAGGGACATGAGGTCAAAAGTGAGGGAGTCAACTCTTGTCTTCCCTAGGAGTGAGACCTTCACCGCGAAGAGGTCAAAAACTTTTCCCAAGAAACAAAGGAGAGTATTCCAAGCTCCAGAACTGAAGAACATGCTGCTAATGTTTAGAGGTCAGAAGAACCAGAAGGATGTGGGGTTCTTATGAGTAAGGATTCTTATGAAGGCAGGGGCTAAATCAGAGACAGAGTGCAGAAGAGATGAGTAAGGAGAGATATTGTTTGTTCATGATGTGGTCATATTTAAAGGGGAATGTTTGGGTGTCTCTTCCTCTCAATTATAAGTCTGTTGCCTCATTATTCCCCTCTCTTAATCTGGAGAGAAAATAGATTTCAGTGCTGATTCTTTGGCTTATATTCAATATCAGGGTGTCTTTTGTCATTTCAGAGCTGAAAAATGCCCAACGCTACTCAGGTAAGGAGAAATCACAGAATTTTCAGTCTACCCCATTCTTGTCACCTGTCATAATTGTGTATGCTCTAGTAGATCTCACACCTTGATGCCCTGTGTCCTCTCCCAGTACACAACTACATATTACATTTCCGCAGCATTCTACCTCTCCCTATGACACCTAAACAAAATTCTTTCCAATTCTCTGTCACTGGCTTCTCAAAATCCCCCTCCTCATATAAAAAATAAATCTACTTCATATCCTTCTACCCTGTAATTGTCTTACAGTAAACATGAGACTGAAACCAATCAGCCCGTTTTCGAATGTTGCCATTTCATACGATGGAAGACAAGCAAGAATTGTACCTAAATCTTGGTATGATAATAATGGTGATTATGGTGTCATGGGCTGCCTGTATATTAGATCAGGGAAACACTACTGGGAAGTGGATGTATCTGGGAAAAGTGCCTGGGTCCTGGGGGTATATGATTACAAAATTACTGAATCCCCTACAAAATCAGGTGCATTTCAAAATGATTACTCCAAATATCAACCTCAGAATGGCTACTGGGTTATAGGTTTACAGAATCAATCTGAGTACAGAGCTTTTGAGAACTCTTCTTCCATTAATCCCCAAGTTTTGTTCCTTTCTCTAACTGTTCCTCCCCGTTGTGTTGGTGTTTTCCTAGACTATGAGTCTCGTACAGTCTCATTTTTCAATGTCACAAACCCAGGGTTCATCTACAAATTCTCTAAGTGTTCTTTTCCTGAGACTGTTTGTCCTTATTTCCATCCAATGAAATGTAAAGTTCCCATGTCCCTGTGCTCACCTAGCTCCTGAACCATCTTTCACCCTCTGCACTTCTGTGGAGTGCCCCTTTCCCTGAGACCGTCTGTTGCACCTGGATCACATGGCCACCATTCTGACCATCTCCTTGCTATGTCCCTTCGTCCCTTGTAAATGTCCCTCACTCATCAACAGAATGTACAATTTTCCTTGTGCCTTATACTTCCCCATATCTTATTTGATTAGGAGAGAATCCTAATTCAACACTTTTCATATTCACAAGCAAAAATGACTAATCTTTCCTAAAAAAACAGAATTGGGGTAATCCCTCTGCCAACTCTTAACTCCCTTATTTCCTCTGTCACTTACCTGAGATGAGGCAAAGCTTGTCAGTCATCTTCTATCATAGACTATGTATAGGAGTCACTCCCTTAATAATAAGTCATTAGCACTGTGTCAGTTTATCCATGATGTCCATATTCATAAAAAATTTAAGGAGAAAAGAGTATAAATAATACATGTACCAAGAGTGGAAGTTTTGTGTCCAGATTGTCTGAGTCTGAATAGATGCTTAAATGGTTGTGCTTATTTTCTAAAAATCATTTTGTGATAAAAGCTGTACCTAATACTTAAAATCACTGTAAAAATCTAAATATTATTAAATGTAAGCCACCTGTCTCAACTTCATATTAAATATTTGTTCTACTTATTACTGAAAATTATAATGTGTCAATGTTCCATGCGACTAGTTTGTGCCTGTGACTACAGGTGACTAATTAAATCTTATTTTTGTGGTCCCAGACACTGCTTTCAATATTCCAACTGTTTTAGATTTTATATATATATATATAAAATCTTATATATATATATATATA